CCTGTAGGTATTATATTGAGCTACTTAAGGTTGCACAACCACCTCCGTCCCATATAGGGTGGTTGGGGCGGAATATAGTTTGTGTGCAGCCACCTTCACACTATATTGAGCAGTTGCATGTGTATGCCACCACCTCCACACCATATCCAGTTTTCTATTGACTTGCGTATTGGTAGGCCACTTCCACGCTATATTGAACGGGTTATAGGGCTATCCTATGACTTTAAAGTTGAAGTTATATTTCAAATGAGGAGTTTTTCTTCATTTTGTTAAAGTTGAAGTTAATTCATGTGTGAGGAGTTTTATGTTTCTACAACTATAAATAGTTGTTGTTTTGTTCATATCCAAACATACCATAATTTTGTATTCTCCTCCTCACACAAGAATTCTATCTTTCTTTTTTCTTGTTGTTCTTGTTTGTGTTGAGAGTAAGTATCTAAAAGTTCTACCAAATCCAAATAGTTCGATTAGTTTGCTTAGCAACTTGTGTAGAGTGAATAATTGTCTTTAAATCAGCACTATTGAAGTGTGCCTCGACTATATTTATCAAGTTTTGGTGTTCATCAATTGTTAGAATCTGTAACATTGTAATACGTTTGCCAATATTACACAGTTTATATATACATCGTATATTTATCAATAGAAATAACATCAGTTTTGTGCTCTACAAAATGCACTCTTATGCTTAAATTAGAACTCAAGTTAGGGGCAAACGAGTATGGAGCACATAGAGTAGGAGGGTAGTAATCTCAAGGGTGAGAATCTACTTAAGAGTGTGTGTCAAATTCTCACACGGAGTTGAGTGAACGAAGACGATTTACCTTGATTGGGGTTGTTCTTTTCTTACATATAGAGACAGGGCTAGTGAGTTTAATTATGAATGGTGAAGATAGGAAGGTGGCATGTTGTGCCAATGGCAATTGAGAGCACCAACAACTCTTTTTCCCTCCTTGTCTTTTAAATAAGGAGCGTGACGGCACCCTGGGTGATTTTCTAAGGTGTATTATGGTCAGGGTTCCGAGGGTCAACACCCTACCTATTAGCTGTCTTCTGCATGGGATGTTCAGGTGTGCTCGGCCACATAATTAAAACTATTATAGTCTCATTAATCAGAGCAAGCGAGGCCCAGTTATTAAGAACCATTAAGAACCGTTAGGCAGCAACTTACCCCATTAGTCCCAACTATCGTCAATAGTTCTGGTGGAGAGCTCATGAAAAACCATCCAGCCATGGAGCCTTGGTTAGGTTCAATACATTTGATGATGCAACAATAACCTCATCACTAAACTCTCGAGTGAGCCTTTGGTTCCAGCTATTATCGACCACATGGTTACTGGTCATGACCGCTTGCATCCTCCAGAACTTTTATCTCATTCTTCTCTTTTCGAAAAGAGGTTTTATTGTGGAACCAATACGTATTTTTGCTGCCTACTACCAACACATACCTTAATTTTCTCACTTTAAAAGGTTACGACAACTAATTTATCAACTAATTTAATTTGTGCCTTGATATTTTTCCTTATCGGGTAAATTTGAAAGTTGAATTTTCTTATTTACGATCCTAATTATTTAGTTTTAAATTTAGAATTCTTTGGTTTGAATCAATTACATTTTGATTTTAGAAAATAGAATTTTATTTGAATCCTAAGTTGAAATTTTGAAATTTAGGGCCGATTTGGTAACAATCCCGAGAATTTATAGTAGATGTTCCTATTTGTCACTTGTTTTGAAAATGGTCAGATGATTTTTGTAATAAAAAATGTCAATTCCCATTTTTCCTACTATTTTACCAATTTAATTTTGATCATCTTACCATTTCTATTTAGTATTATTTTCAAAATCAAAATAATACTCTCTCTCTTAAATTCTCAAATTTATTTCTGGTTATATTACCTCTCTTTTCCTACATTTCATCAGATTTTAGAAACCATCTATCTCACTTTTTAAATATATATTTGAATATAACATAACATAGGACAACACACAAAGTGAGACACGATCAAGGAGTATCACGAGGGAGATAACGGGAACGGACGAGAATTGAGCAAGGGTGACAACAAGACGGGGAATAGACGAAATTGAGTAATGGTGGCAACAAGGTGTGGGGAATGGATGAAATTGAGCAAGAGAAACAACAAGGTGGGTGTTGGATCAGTATGACAACCCTAAATGGGGTGAATAGGGTTTAATTAAACTTTATAAACATTTTAACATGGTGAGTCCAATTTAAACAAATAAATAAATTTTTTATGAACAAATGATTTTAACACAAAATTAAACAACAAATTAAAAATACAAACACCCTAATTAATTTCACCATCCAAATAATTCAAATATAAATATTGACCATAAACATGAATAACAAATTCGAACAATTAATTTCATACAATTTATAATAAAGAAAATTAATTGGAAAAATTAAATAGAGAAGGATTAGAGAAAATGACACCGAAAATTTATAGTGGTTTGGCAACAATCGGCCTACTCCACTTTTCAAATTCCTCTTGGGTGTTTGATACAAGAACTTGACTTTCTCCATGGCTTAGAGTCCAACCGGTACAATGTTTTTTTTTTCTGGGAGCAAGAACAAACTCGATTCTTTCCACAGTTCAGGATCAAACCGTTACAGATACTCTTTTTCAAGCTCAAGAGCAACCCTTACAAAAAATATGGAAATTTGATAACAAACTTACAAACTTTCTCAAATAGTGGATTTACAATTTTTTGCTCACAAATTTGTAAGAATAAAATTAGAAGCACAAATATCTATCAAATAAAATCTCCCTTAAGAATATATAACAAAAATTGTAGCTTTAAAGAGGGATTAACGATGTAGAATTTGGAGAGAAAATTAGGGAGAAAATTGTTAAAAGTTGAGAGGATGAGGGATTTAAATAGAGCAGGAAATGTTCGGAAGAAATTTGAAATCCAAATTAAATTTGGACTATTGAATTTCAAATGATGAAAAATCAAAGGCTGTTATTTAATTGAATAAAATAATAATAATAATCCTCTGTTATATATATATATATATATATATATATATATATATATATATATCTCTTTTTATTTCNTTTCCAACGGTAAGATTTTTTAATTTTAATTTTTTTAATTTCTTTTCTCTCTCTTCTTTTCTTTTCTTTCTTTTCTATTTCTTTTCTTTTTGTTTTGTTTTCCTTTTCTTTCTCTTTTCTTTTTGATTCTTTTCTTTTTTTCTCATTTCTTTTGTAAACTAAAAACTTCAGCACGCAACATGTTCTTTTCTATTGGTTCGAGTAGGATTCAGTCGCCATTTCTTTATTTTAACTTCATTCGACCCTAACTTCTTTATTTGAGCCATGACTTAGGTGATTCAAAAGATGCTGGAATTCTTGTATCGAGTTTTATGATATGAACACTTCAAAAATATTAAATTATCAATAAATAAAATTAGATTTGTTAACATCAAAACATTAATTAATTAATTAATTAAAATTAATTAACTTTAGATTAAGGGTCAAAAAGCCAATCGTGGGGAATGAACGAAATTTAGCAAGGGAGACAACGGTGAAGCAACAAGGTAGGTGATATAGTTGTAAGTGGGGCGGTGAGTGTATGGAATTGAGCAAGGGAGCAAGGGAGGAAGGGAGCAAGGGATACAACAGTGGAGCAACAATGCATGTGACAAAACTGTAAGTGGGGTGTGGAGTAGCGGAGGATAAAGAAGAAAGAGGTTATGAGTTTCTACGGTTCACAGTATATGTTCATTTTAATGTTCAGGTATTTGTTCATCTACTCATCATATTTGTTCATTTGTTCACCGTATTTGTTCATCATTTTTGTTACTATATTTATTCGTATTTATTCATCATGCTTGTTACTGTATTTATTCATATTTATTCATCATGTTTGTTACTATATTTGTTAAATCTTCGATATTGGTATTTCCATTTATAAAATGATTTTGTGCTTAAATTTTGGTATTTCTATTTCTAAAATGATTTTTTAATTTAATTTTTGGTTTTATATTTTAATTTAATTATTATTTTTCCTTTTAGGTGTGTTAGTAAATTCTCTTGGAAAATATTTGAATTAAAAGATACGCGTAAGATTCTCAAAATATTTGAATAATTGATTAGAAAAAAATATAGGTATGATTCTTCTATAAAAAAAGGATAAATAATATATTCATTTAAAAATTATGGGTGGGTAATTTTGTTCCGCCATTTTTCAAAACTGAGAGTTGTTTGATCATTTTTTGAAATGACTATATCTTTACCCCTATTATTTATTGAGAAAACCTAAACGTAGCTAACACAGTTAATGTTATCCCTTGCTCATTTTTAGGATATGTTTCCAAAAATTGTTTAGAAATTTTTGAAATAAAAAAATCAAGTTTTTTATTTCTTATTCCTATTTTCATTTTTTTTTCAGCACAGAGATAAAAAATGCAAAAAAATATAACATAAAAATTTAATTATTTAATTTTAAAAATTAAATCTCATATAAAACTTTTACCTTTTTTTAATCTAATTTTTTTACAACAAAAATCAAGAAAGAGTTGTTAAACGTGTTTTTATATCTTCTTCCATAAAAAATAAAAAGTAAAAAACAATTATCAAACGTCAATATATTCTTTTTATTGAAATAGTGCAAGCAAGAAAGAAACTGAAAAATACGAAATAAGAAAGATTGAAACATGACCTACATGCAAACATTGACGTGTAATTAGATTGAAATAAGAAAGTGGTATTATAATTATTTGTTGTATATGTGATTTCTATATTCATTTCAAACAATTTTAGTAACCAACATCAATATCAAAGAAATAAAATCTCTGTTTCGATTTCTTGTCCGGGTTAAAGAAAAAAAAATCTATTATTGACTAATTTTTATTACGATTAACTATCATTTCGATTCAACGGACTTAAAAATTTAGCTAGAAAAAAGAAAAGAAAAAAAAAATTCCAATCCAGAGCTAAAGAGAATAATTTGGGAAAGAGACCTTAAAACCCTTGTTATAATATTATTGTAGTCACACAAGCCCTAAACTATCACCAGTCGCAGCCGAGCCCGAGCATATCTGCAGCAACGCGCCACGAACGACCTCCCTCCGGCGAACCAGACCCGCGGCGGCGTCATTCTTGCAGCACCCACTGTTCTCCCTTCTACGGCGGCGACACCCTGACCCGTCGGCGCTCGCAAACCCGCAGAAGCAAGAACCCAAGCTGTTTCGGTAAGAACCAATTGGCAACGAACCGCTCGCTTGATTGGTACTGATTCCGTGCTTAATTTTTCTGCCTATATCTGCTGACTGATGGCGTTGGAATCTGCTACTCGTGATTCACTCTGTTTTCTTGTGTATTGTATGGTTCTGCTTGACTAACTTCTTAATTTCACTGACATATGAAACCCTTGTATTGCTTGTACTGTGTTGTTCACCTAATATCCTGAAGGTACTATCTGCATCGATTCCATTTGGTTTTCAACTAATAGTTTCTGGAAGTTCTGATAGGATTTTGTCTTCAACTTCCCCTGCTATTTTTGCAATGGAAAAGTTGTTATATGATCCTGTGAGACAGAAATTAGTGTGTGGAGGGAGATAGAGAACATGAAACTTTTTCTGAGACATTCATTCCAGATAATTGTTTTGATCTTCACTGCTTATTGTCCATTCTTGTTATTTTTCTTCTCTGAATTTTGACAGAAATTGCTATTCTATCTTGATCGTTCTTTATGAACATTTGAGGACCAAGGATGTTGCCAACTGATGACTCGAAAAAGATATCGTTTACCCGTTCCATAAGTGACGGAGATTTAGTCATTGTCTATGAGAGACATGACATCATGAAGGCTGTTAAAGTATGTGAAGGTTCAACACTTCAGAATAGGTTTGGTGTGTTTAAACACTCAGATTGGATTGGGAAGCCATTTGGATCCAAGGTGTTGAGTCACAAAGGTGGATTTGTTTACCTGTTAGCTCCAACTCCTGAATTATGGACTTTGGTACTAAGCCACAGGACACAGATTCTATACATTGCGGACATTAGCTTCATAATTATGTTCTTAGAAATAGTTCCTGGGTGTTTAGTTCTAGAATCAGGGACGGGAAGTGGATCTTTGACAACGTCGCTAGCTAGAGCTGTAGCTCCTACTGGACACGTACATACGTTCGATTTTCATGAACAGAGGGCTGCCTCGGCCAGGTAGGAATGGATATCTATTGATGGTTTTCTTGTCAGATCTTGAGCCAGTTTAAGAAGTAGTACTTATTCCTTGTCTCCCCCTTCTTTCAGGGAGGATTTTGAGAAGACAGGCTTGACTAACTTGGTCACTGTGGGAGTTAGAGATATTCAAGGTCAGGGGTTTCCTGAAGAGTTCGTTGGGCTGGCCGATTCGGTTTTCTTGGACCTACCTCAACCATGGTTGGCCATTCCTTCAGCTGAGAGGATGCTGAAACCAGATGGGGTATTATGCTCCTTCTCGCCGTGTATCGAGCAAGTTCAGAGGTCGGCAGAAGCTCTTCGATCTAGCTTTACAGGTCCTAAATGCCCCTATGCCATTTTTACCTTCATTGCTAGAGATATGTTGGTAAGTATTGTTCACTCTTTGGTTGTCTCTTTTGTGTAGATATAAGGACGTTTGAGGTATTGCTTCGGACATACGAAGTTCGGGAAGATAAAATGGAGTGTAGCCAGGTTGATGGAGGTGGTTCTGTTGGTCTTCCTCCATGCAAGAGGCGGCTGAGATCAAACCAAGCAAACGACATGTCCGAGGATCCGAGTACAACAGTCATGGTTAAGCCGTGTAGTGAGGCCAGAGGTCACACTGGTTATCTAACATTTTCTAGACTGAGGTGCATCTCATAACATTGATTTTTTTACCAAGGAAAATTGAAGTTTTGTATTCTTTTTCCCTACTCTGGAATGGAATTTTGGATCTCATTTCAGTCGTTGAATGTTAAAGTAATTTTGTTTATGCTTCTTTCTCATCGTGATTTCTCAACTCTATCATTCGTTTTGGTTAATCGAACTACATTTCAACCTGGCTACAAGGCTCAAATTTTTTGACTGAAGTCGACCTACCATTAAATTTTTGGTCAAGAATTTTGTATTAAAAGATTTTTATTGTGTATAAAATTATTTTATAAACAAGAGCTAAATTAGTCATTTTTAAAAAAGACTAGGACAAAAAAAAGATATTTTCATAAAAAAGACTAGGACAAGAAAAAGATATTTTTGAAAAAGATGCAAGGACTAAAATAGTATTTAGATTATATTTCAAAGATTTCAAAGCTGCAATAAAAGAAACAGAAATATTGGTATCCAACCAACTTGTTCATGAAAAATGAAAAAAAAAAAAAAAACCATTGACTACAAAGAAAAAGAAAAAGATCCTAAATATTGACACACATAATTTACAAAACCCAACTGTGTGATTAACATAAGGAAATATTGTGACATTGGCAAAAAAAAATGCACAATGCAATTTATTCAATCCCAACCTTAAGACCTCTACTTGACCCCCACAATGGCCATGAGAAACTGCAACTTCTGGTTAAGCTGATTGAGATCATCATCGTTAGAATCTTTCATGGGGGACGGTGGCTCGACTCCGACAAAGGTGTAAAGGGCATTCACTTCATCTATGTACGTTCCAAGGGGGGTGGCTTTGTATCCTACGATCTTCTTCATCGAATCAATCTTCTCTCTTATCTTTAACTCGCTGGATATTTCCTTGTCGAAAAAAGAAACTCAGAATTCAAACATTCAATCGGTTTATGAAGTAACTTACCAAGGCAATCATATGCCAAAGTTTATGGCAAAGGTAAATAAGGTCGCAGAAGTACGTTTATGTTTTTTTCTAAAACAAAAGATGTTTTTAATTAAGTACGTTTTACTATTCTAAAAGTTATATCAAACTCAGTCTAACAGCTCGATGGTAAATCGAAAAACAATCTACAAAAAGAAACGAGATCGTTACCTCATTGGAAGATAGCTTGTAATCTTTATTATGTGGAACATTTGGCTCAAGTAGTTTGGATTCAACTGTCACAGCTGATACAGCCAAATCCTCCCCAGATTCAACCACATCAATTATTGTCACTAAAGAAATTGGTTCAGCTTCTTCAGACTTGGCAGGCTTGCTTGAGGCTGCAGCTTCACCAGAATCCAACCATTTGTCAATATCATATCGTATCATCACTTTCGACACTTTTTATCTCAGTTATATATTCTCGACACTCTCCTGATCCACTTATAAGTTTAAATATTAATTTTACTTTACAATACTTTATTACCAACGAAACAACAAAAGAATCTTGCTGCTCACTGCCCAGTCAGTAGGGAAGTACTATCTATACATATTATTTTGAGACATGACCTTATGGTTAGTAAAAATTACTAAGCAATATAAATTATGAATTTCATGAATCTGAATTTATGTAACCTAACCTAGGCTTAGATAGTCCGTGTTTGATTAGCAAACCTCTGACCGGGAATGAACAAAAACCCATTCGCTAAACATACCCTTTACCTTCTAACGCTAAATTATATGCAAACTTAATCTTTGAACCAAATATCTCGACCAATATAAAATTAAAGAATATATATATCATTGCAGAATTAGTGGATATGAATCGATTACCTTTAGAAGTTTCATACTCTACATCATGAGGATGAAGAGCAACCTTGTTGGCTTCACTCATTTCCATCTGATCCCCAACATTATCATCACCTCTTCTTCCCTCATCCCTCATTCTTTCAAGCAAACCCCTTGTTTCTTTCAACTCTTCTTCCTCATGATCCCCAATATCACCCTCTCCATTTCCTCCAAGTTCCACACTTGTCACTTCAATGGTTGCCGCCTCTCCGCCCCCTGTGTCGGGTTCATCCTCTCGAACAACGACCACATTGATTTCCAGATCATCTGAAATTACCTCATCTCTTTTGATGGTAATTTCCATCTCATTTTCTCCATCTTCTCCTTGATCTTCTTGGTAGCCGTTGTCCTCCACTATTTCTTCGATTGGTGGTTGGGGAATCGGAAGCCAAACGCTCATGATCTTCTCAGTGCAAACGTAGGAGGCCAAGAAGACTCCATAGGTGATTGAGGCGGCGAATCCGAAGGATGAGATGATCGCCAAAGGAGGAAGAACTAAGGGAGCTGAAGATATGGCCAAGCTAGTGATGAGAAGCTTCTTCCCCACATTGGTGCAGTAGCCCTTTTGCATGGTGGGACGGATATTTTCGCCGCTCTCGCCATAGCCGGAGGACTGTTCTTCTTCCATGTTCCAGTCTACGCCGCCGTCGTTCTCCATCCTGACCAAATGACATATTTGAACAATCAAATATTTTGAATCTGTGTGCAGTGAAATGAAAGTTGCAGCCTTAGCTTTTGAAATTTCAATCAAGCTTATTGATAATCAAAAGAGAGAAATTATATTTTTCAAGCTACAGTAAGCAAAATTCCCTCCAAAAAGTTAGTTTCAAAAGTTCCATTTTAACCCGTCATCTGGAAAAAATTACTTACTCTCATTCGTTCAAACACAATTATCATCTTCTTGGTGATATATGCAGAGGACTTACTCTCATTCGTTCAAACACAATTATCATCTTCTTGGTGATATATGCAGAGGGTGAGTTGCCCCTATTTCTCCACGTTTTTCAAACCCTAGGTTAAAATTTCAACCGTAGTTAAGGTCGTGTGAATAATAATGCATGTGCTGATATTATTAACCGTGCTGATCTTGGTATGGAAGTTATGCATGAACATAATGCTCACAACTTCCCACCAAACCTAGCTGCCGTTGAAGTTCCATCCATCGACAGATAAGACTTTGGTCTTAATTAGTGTATACGAATTCTTGAAAGTACAGGAGCAATAACCAATTTCTTGTTTTTTCAAGAGGATTGGCATTTTCTCCATTCCAAGCCGTGAGGAGAAGACTCCAAATTTTCAATTATACCTGAGTTGATATTATTAACCTGCTAATCTTAATCTTGCTAATCTTAATCTTGGTATGGAAGTTATGCATGAATGTAATGCTCATAACTTCCCTGTAGCTGTTGTTGAAGTTCTGTTTATCAATCGATAAAACTTTCGTCTTAGTTTGAAAGTAAATGAGCATTAACCAATTTCTTGTTTTCTCAGGAGGATTGGTATTTTCTCCATTTCGGGCCATTGAGGAGAAGACTCCAATTTTTTTCCATGAAAAATGAGAAGGAAATAAAAACAATAACTACCTATACTCTTTTCAAGCTCTCATTTTTTTTTTTAAACATGGTTAAAACATGTAACCAAAACCTAGTCGTCTGAATAAAATAAAAGTTTTATTATTATTATTATTCTTATTATTCTCTCAAAACCTACAAATCCAAGCTGCAGCTCAGCTGGTTGGTTTTCGGTTTTGGATTTGAACCAAAGCTAACGAATATATATATATATATTTTTTTTTTTTTTCTTTTCTAGACAACTAATGGTTAAAATAAAACTTTAAGAAACCATAAAAATACAATTAAAATCAACTCTATAGTTCAACAACAAACTGTATATAATTTAGCCTAATTTTTAATTTTTTACATTTTACAATCGACACAGATGTTAATAGATACGAATCATTCAACTCAACGAGTAAAGCCCTCAACTTACTCCAAAACTCCCATATTGTTCAACTCAAGAAAATTGGATGAATAAAAAAGTTGGTGCAAAACGAAAGAAAACACTAGAAGTGAGATGAAGAAAGAAAATCAAACCTGATGAAATCAAACGGCTGCAGAAGAATCGCATGGCAGAGAGGGAGATGGGGGTTTCGAGAAGAAATGGGGAAAACGGTGTCGGATTAATTGTCGTGAAAAAGCAAAAGAGAAAGGGTGAAGATTTGGGAAGTGTGTGCAAGTGCATGCAGAGGCCTAGCTTCCAGCAGCTTACACGTGGCGGTTTCCTATTCCACCGCCTCTTTCCCTTTGGGTTTCCTAAACACTTGCCTTCTAACCCACGTCTTCTCCCATTTGTCCAATTAAACATAAAACATATCATGAAAAGAAAAGAGAATGCATTGACTGTTTTGAGATTGCTGTAATCACAATCTCGACACCTTAGAAAATTGTCGCGACCTTACGACGTTAGGATAGAGGAGAGGTACATAAATAAATCGATATTATAAAATGATAATTATGTGTTGTGTACGTTGTTTTTCGAGGGTTCAATCATAAAAACTCTCTATAATTAAGTATTATATTTTGATAGTCAATTAAGGATAGTAAAATCTGTATAACTCGACTTTACTTCTCAGTGTTAATTTAATGACGGTGTATTTTGAGCAGGTCTGTGACAACCCATCTAGAAGCTTCGGATCATGAGTGGTTTCGGGTCAGAATCTGGGTCTTACACGTGTGAAGTCGTTATTTTATGGCTGGAAGGTTGGTTAGAGGAGGTGCAAAAGTCCGAAATTGAGCGAGTATGGTAGAGAGGACAGAATTGGGGGTTCATCTTCATCTTTCTTCTTGAATGGGTGATTTCAAAAGGCACAGAGAAGCAGGTTCAGGAAAATTAAGCTACTTATACATTGAGTACATTAGAGATTACTGGAGTTAATGTTAGTGTACTCTTTACTGCTTCCAAAGGGTTGATCAATTTGCCCTATTCTTGTAATTTTCTCCTGATTGATTTAGTGGATGAGATCAATTTTGATCCAACCACTATAATTTCTCTATGTCCATTATTCTTAGTCTCTCTAATCTATGTTTTCTCTTTTAATCACTTAGCAATTGGTAGATTGAATAGAGAATCTATTATTTTTCTTTTAATCACTTGGCAATTGGTAGATTGAATAGATTAATTGTTTCAATCTCTATTAATTTGTTGCTAGTGTGGTTATCTGATGTTACTTATTTTGGGAATAAGTACAGCAATACTTAGTTTGGACCAATTTATCCTGAAAAAATTCTTTGAGAAGCATGTGAGGGAGAAAAAAAATATCCATTCACACTCTTCCATGCAACCCATGTCAGGTTAGTGCATGGAGGAGAGTTATGGGACCACCAGATGGTGAATCAAAATTCCTAATCCTAGTTTGAATACTCAACTACTTGAGACCTTACATGAAGATTCAAGTCCCTCCGCCTAATTTATTGAACCAAAAAAAAAAAAAAATGAAAAAAAGAAAGACTTAGAAATTTTTGTAGTTAACTATGTTGATGCAGAAATTTTGCTTTCCTGAGATTCCGTCAAATTCGCACCAATCTTCTAGAATAAAAGGGATCGACGAGATCACCTGCAAAACAGAAGAGCACTAAAGATCAGTGTGGCTCTTGTCACATAGGCTCCGATCCTTAAGTCAGAATTGAAGTAGTCAAGTATGGAGAGTAGGGTATTTTTGGCATACCTCTAGGTGTGGTTCACCCTCTTATTTATAGAAGTCGAATTCTAATCTTTTTAGGATTTACAGAAGTCAAATCCTAGTGTGCTTAGGAGATCTGAACTCTTGGGCTCGTGCGTTTCGTCGTACGTCTAATATTCAATCGAGGGTCGAGACAATGTAGGTTCGGGTCGGGCTGCACAGAGGTCGGGGGAGAATCGCTAGGGTTCTCAGCCGGTGGCCGAGAAATCCTTGGCACCGAGAAGGTCTCGACGTTACCTCGAGTCAGCCATGGTCGACCTGGGCAGCTGGGTTCGGACTTACATGGTTCGTGTGTTTGAGCTTCCGGCTTGATCTCCCCTTCTGCCGCTTGGTCAGCTCTTCTTTTATCTTCCCATAACAGGTTAAATTACAAATTTACTCCGTAAGTCCCTATTTTGATAATCATTTCGTTTTTTGTTTTATTAATAAAATTATATATATTTGATTTTTTTTTTCATAATTTCTTTGATTTGTTTTTTACATTTTTTAGGAACACACTTGAGTTCAAACTCAAATTTTAAATACAATTTTATTTATATGTTTATCACATTTTTTTAAAAATATGATATGAAAACCTTAGTGAACTGGTTTAGAAATCCTTTGGTTTTACGAACCCCTCTGGCAGTAATACCTAACGGGTCAATTTGATTCAATTCAAATATCTAAATTGATATGAATTACCTTAAGGCCCTGTTTACTTACAAAGAATCGGAATGAGAATGAATCGGAATAAAAACCAATCAGAATGAAATCAATTGGAATGAGAATGCTATTCATTTGATGTTGTTTACCAGAAATTTTCTAGAGTTAGAATCAGAGTTCATTTGATGGTGTCTACTAAAACCATCTTGAAATCGGAATCGGATATATAACAATTACTAGTATACTCATATCTTCTTTCTAACTAATTATAAATACATTATTGTTCTAATATTTTTTTAATTACAATAATAATAAAATTTATTTTATTTTATTACTATATGATTGATAGTAAATATTTTTATTATAACAATTTATTTAATATTAATAATAATGAATAATTAAAATAAAATTACACCACTAAAATAATTTTTTTATTAGAACAACTATTATTTAATATAAATTATTATTAAATTTTATTATTCTAATATTTAATAACAATAAATTATATTTTAAAAAATCTACTGATATTAATTAATAATTACAAAGTAAAAAAATATTAATTAAATATAATTTAAAATATTTTATAATAAAATCATAGCAACCAATAAAAGTTGTATACATTTTTATTAGAAGAAAAAATATTATTTGTAGAAATGAAAAAGAAATATTTTATAAATAATTAAGTGAAAAAGTTATGATTTCCATTAATAAAGAGAGAAAGGTATAAGTAGTAAAATAAAGGAAATATAGCGGAAAATGAATATCTCCAGAATCTTACCAACATTTCACTTATATACAAGATATAATTAGTTGCTAACTAATCAAGTAGTTATAACAATATCGAGTTGTTATAACATTCCCCCTCAAGATGGACCGTATATGTCAAGAACACCATCTTGGACAATAAAGAGAAAAAAGCAGGAGACGGGAGTGCCTTAGTGAAAATATCAGGGAGCTGGGAATTAGAACGAATGGGCAGAAGCTTGATGAGACCCTCGACAACTATATCACGTACAAAGTGACAATCAAGCTCAATGTGCTTCATCCATTCATGAAAGATGGGATTAGGAGCAAGATGTATAGCTGCTTTGACACGACCCGTCCCAAACATCTACTGATCTTATAACGAGTCGTGCCGACCACAGACCCCGACAACTACAAAGTCCATGGTCAACTTCTTTTTCTTATCACCTTACACATGTGGGATCCACAAACACAATTCAATTTCTTTTCCTTTCAACTTTACATGTGAAAGCCCCCAATTTTCAACAATTTCATTTTCCTTCTCATTTCTTTTTAAACCATAATTCTCCTCTCTCTTCCAATCAACAACCTCTTCTTCTTTCTTCAAAACTCAACCCATGTTCTTCTCGGTCTCTCTCTATTCAATTTTCTTTCTACCATTTCCATGATTAATTTCTACCACCCTTATGCTACATTTAATTTCTCCATTTTACGGCCATTATTCCCCTCCAAATAACCTTAACAAGCTCATAAGTAAAAGCTTAACTCAAACTTCTATGGAAGTTAAAATCTACCATCTCCGAGAAACTTCTTGAACATAAAATAGAACAACCCATAAACCCTTATTCACTTTCTATTCTTCCAAAATCATCCAAGAAAAAACAAGTTTAGTTACCAAGTTTTGCTCATTCCAATAGTTGAAATATTCAATTTTACCTTCAAAGGATTCCCGCCCTCTAATCCTTAGAAATTTTGTCAAATCCTTGCTCTCCTTCTCCTCTGTTCTTTCCTTCTTCTCTGTTTTTTTTTTCCTTCAAACCCTCTTTTTCTTTCCTTTCGTGCCTCTTTCTTCTTCATTTTCTTCTTTTCTTTTCTTTTCTTTTTCTTTTTCTTTCTTTGGCTAAACTCTTCTTCTCCCCATCCTTAATTAGCCACACGTCCACCCTAAACCATGCGCCTCTCACAAAAATTCTCAAATCTTTTATTTTTATTTTTTTTATTTTGATGCAAAAAGACCAAAATACCCTTCTAAGCTAAAATTCCAAATTCACTTTTTTTTTTCTTTTTTTTTTCCAAAACGTTAAATAGTCCTTACATGCTTGATTATCACAAAAGAGGAGAGCTGGAGGAGTAAATGGAACTTGTAAGTCTAAAAGTAAATGAGACAACTAAACAAGTTCACATGCAGTAACAGCTAAGGTTCGATATTCAGCTTCTGCAGAAGAACGAGAAATAGTTGTCTGCTTTTTAAACTTCCAAGACACCAAAGCATCACCAAGGAAAACACAAAAGCCAGTGGTAGATCGGCGAGTGTCTAGACATGAAGCCCAATCAAAATCAGCAAAAGCACGAAGTTGAAAAGATGATGACGATGGCAAGAACCAGGCGACAGCTTCAAATATTTCAACAAGTGTAAGGCAGCAGTCATATGTAACCTACAAGGCTTAACAACATATTGACTAAGTTTGTGAACAGCAAATGTAATACCAGGTCGAGAAATAGTTAAATAAAGCAAACAACCAATCAACTGGCTATATTCTGAAGGATCTGAAAGCAAATGAGAATTAGAAACTTGAAGTTTTAGAAGAGGATCCATTGGAAGAGAAGCAGATTGCGGCCAAGAAGACCATGATCTTCAAGTAATTGAAGTGTGTAACGTCGCTGAGACACGCAAATACCAGAAGAAGACCTAGCAATCTCTAGACCAAGAAAGAATTTGAGAGAACCCAAGTCTTTAAGACGAAACCGATCATGGAGAAGAACTTTGAGATTCTCAATATTAGTAAGAGAAGCACCAGTAATAATAATGTCATCCACATATACTAACAACACCACAAAATCAGTCCCAGAACCTCTAATGAACAAGGAATAGTCTGCTGTAGACTGAACAAAATCGAGGGAAAGAAGAAATTCAGAAAACTTAGTGAAACATTGTTGGGATGCTTGTCGTAAACTATAAAATCGATTTGTGCAGTTTACAAACCATTCGTGTGCCCGGAGGAGGGGAAGAATTTGATCGATATCCCAATGGAAGATCCATATATACTTCCTCAAAGAAATATCCATTAAGGAAAGCATTGCTAACATCTAGCTGAACCAAAGGCCAATGAAGAGAGATGGCGACAGTAAGCAAAATTTAGACTGTGATAAGTTTCGCAACTGGACAAAAAGTCACAATAAAATCCAACCCGCTTGTTGAGTGTACCTCTTAGCAACTAAACGAGTCTTGTAACGCTCAATGGTGCCATCAGAATTATGTTTAACCTTGTATATCCACTTACATCCAATGGTGTGTTTGTCAGCGGGCAAAGGAACCACAGACCAAGTGTGATTAGACTCCATAGCATTAAGTTCATCACGCATAGTCTCTTGCCGATGAGGAAATGAGACTGCTTGGTGGTAGAATTGAGGTTCAAAATGGGAAGAAACTTGAAGGGTGTAGGTCTGAAAAGAAGGGGATAAACGATGATATGAAATGAAATGAGATAAAGGATATCGAGTGTGTGAAGGCAAAAGGTTACTTGGAGAGGGTGATAAAAGGTTACAATAATATTAACGGAGATAAATGGGAAGTTTGGATGGTCTGGTAGATCTTCGCAAAGAAATATGGTTTGAGGGATCCAAGGAAGTAATTTTGGTAGGAGAATGACTAATATCCGGAGGGTTAAAAGAAGGGTTATGAGTTGGGTTGTCATGGGAATTGTTATTATTCGGAGGAACTGGCAATGTGTGGTCAAGATGGTTATTATTAGAAGACTGTAAAGACTGATTTGGTGCAGTGGGCTGGACACTAGGTTGATTTGGTATAACGGGCAAGATAATAGAAGTTAGGGTTGTTGATGAAATGGATGTGGCAGGTGGATTTGGTAAGGAAGTAGGCATAGGATTGGACAAGTCAATGTCAAAAGGCTTGAAAAGGACAAAGTCATTAAAGAAGTCTGGAATGGTGTTTTCAAAGGTAATATTGTGGAAGGGAAAAATATTTTTATGAAAAATAACATCCCTGGAGATGAAAATTTCGTCGGTTTGTAATACTAAAAAGTTTAAAGGCTTTCATTCTAAGGGGATAGCAAAAAAAAAAAAAAAAGAAAAAAAAAACTGCAAGTATGGCTCGTGGGGAAAATTTTATGCGTTTGGAGGCAAGAGTTGATGCAAAACATAAGCAACCAAATACTCTTAATGTATTATAATCTGGTACTCATTATTGAGTAAAGCAAAAGGAGTACACCATTTCAGTAGAGGAGAAGGAGTCCGGTTTATCAGGAAAACAGCAGTGAGTATGCAATCACTCCAAAAATGTAAGGGTACACGAGACTGAAAATAGAGAGCCCTAACAACATTTAGAATATGTTGATGTTTCTTTTCTACTACTGAATTTTGTTCACGCCTTTCAACACAAGAAAATTGGTGGATAACGGCTTTGGTTTTAAAAAATCCTCAAAAGATAACTCTGGTGCATTATCAAACCGAAATGACTTAGTGCATTTCTGATATTGGGTCTCAATAGGTTGAAAAAATCAAGGAACAATAGATAATACATCAAACTTCCTACGTAGCATATAGACCCATGTATAACGTGTGCAATATTTATGTCCAATATAAGGAGTGGCAAAAGGACCCCAAACGTCAGCATGTATGAGATCAAAAACAGACTCAGACATTTTATTACGGCTATGAAAAGATAAATGCTTTTGTTTAGCAAGAGGACAAACAACACAATGACTAGTATGTTTTTGCTTCAAAGAATCAAGAGAGATAGATTGTCTTTTAAAGCATGTAAAAGCGATTAGGGGAAGGATGTTCGAGCCTGTCATGCCATAAAGTGAAGGTGGGAGTCATGGCTGTTGCACACAAAAAGTTGGATGAGAAAGAAACAGCAGGTAGGTCCTCCAAAATGTAAAGTCCCTCATGTACTCTACCCTTACCAATCGTCTTCAAAGTGGATTTGTCCTGAATTTCACAAGAATCAGCCACGATTTTAACCATAAAAGATCCATCCATGATAAGAGCAATGATGGATAACAAGTTATACTGAAATTAAGGTACAAATAGAACATTATGTAGAGTGACAGATCCAAGGATAACCACAGTACTAACATACTAAATAGAGAGACAAGATTTATTGGGCAAAATAACCACCGTAGATATCGATTGAAGAGAAGTAAAGAGGTCCTTATTGAAACAAATATTGTTGAAGTGCCAGAATCCATTATCCAACTATTATAGTATTTAAAAGAAAATGAGATATTCGGACAAGTGACATATGAAGGAGAAGGAGTTATATCGGCTGTAGTACTGTTCTTTGCAGCAGTGATTTGTGATTGTAGCATATCGAGGAGTTTCTGACACTCCAGAAGAGTATCAGAATTAGTAGCAGACATCATTGAATTATCAGAAGAAATTAGTGAATTCGAATCAGCCTGAGAAGATGACCGGAAGGCAGATCCAGGTGAATGGTTTTTTGTCAGTGACACAACACTCTGCGTAGGGGTTTGTTTTCGAAATGAAGATTTCTATCGATAACCAGGAGGATACCGTGGAGTTTGTAACATCAATCCACGATGTGACCAAGCAAGCCACAATGAGTACACATGGAGCGGTCTCTACGTTGCCGTGAAGTATTGGCAGAAGCATTTGAGGAAGGAACGATAGAAGGAGATCGAGCATTATGTTGTACAGCCAGCCTAATTGCTAGAGCAGAAGAGAGGATCGGTATGGATCGCTGCTATTCCTCTTACACAATAAAGGAAAATGCCTTGGCAACAGAAGGAACTGGATCCATAAGTAAAATTTGTGCTCGAGAAGAAGAGTAAGATTCATTCAGGCCCATGAGAAGCTCATGAGGTACTCAAATTGGAAGAACTCTATAATTTTCCGATTTCCTTCACAAGAACACTTATCGCAAGTACATGATGGTCGATAAGTTTCGTATCCAGCCCAAATACTCTTGAATTTGGTGTAATATATAGTAACAGAACATTGATCTTAAGTCAGAGTAGCAAGATTATGCTTCAACTGAAAAATACGTGGACCATTCTTCTTCTAAAACCACTATTTTAGATCGAGTCAAATTTCTCTGGCTGAATTGGAAAAAATCAAACTTGCAGAAATAGGCTTTATGAGGAATTGAGAATCCAAGCGATGACTACATGATTATTACGCACCCAAGTCGGAAGAAGATCACCGGTGGGCTGAGGAATTGAGCCATCAACAAACCCTAACTTGTTCTTGATGGAGAGGGCGATGATCATTGATCTGCTCCAAGACATATAATTGTTATCTATGAGCGGTTTAGTTACAATAACAAGATTAGATGAATCTGTATGATGGAGATAGTAACGACTTTGCGAGGATTCATTCGAGACTATAACAGAAAATTGAAGAAGAAGAATCTAGAGCAACAAGATCAGTTGGATCAACTGGGGGATCTGCATAACTCATGGGGAAAAGCGGTAAAAAATCAGAGTTGCTCTGATACCATAATAAAGGAAATACAGTGGAAAATGAACATCTCCAGAATCTCATTGAATCGCTTCATGAACATTTCACTTATATACAAGATACAAGTAGTTACTAACTAATCAAGTAGTTATAGCAATATCAAGTAGTTATAACAATATCAAGATCTAATAAATAATTCTAATAAATTTGTGAGACCCACGAAATAAGGAACGCGAATGAGATTGGTGAGGGTGTAAGACAGGAATGACATTGCCCCTTTTTAGAGAATGAGATTTCCAAATTTGAGGTGGGTCCCATAATTTAATTAAATTCCTATGACTTGGTAAATACCATCAAACGGAATGGAATAATTCATTCTCATTCCTTGATTCTCATTCCCTTTAAGTAAACATAGCCTTAGACCCTATTTACTTACCCGCCATCGTAATAAAGGAATCGTGATTAAAACTTTTGTTCTTGATAGTGTTTATCAAATTGTAGGAATGAAATCATATGGTGGGACACACCTTCAATTTTGTAATCTCATACCTTAAAAGGTTGTAATCTCATTACAGTTCTACAACCCCATCAATCCCATTCTCATTCCTTATTCTAATTGACCCCATATTTATATTATAATTAATTTACAACTTTTACCATACTCTCATCTATTAATTAGACCCATACAATTTTTATTTACTATTTTTTATAGTTTCATAATTTCTTATCCATTTATACTTCAATTTTTATTAGTTGATGTGATTTTATTATATAATATTATAAATTTATATTAATCAATATTAATAGATTTTTTTTTTAGAATAGAAATTATTATGGGGAGCACGCTGAGGTCTACGACTTGCCAGCGGCAGGCGACAAGCTACAAGTCTATCGGTGGAGCACCATCCACTAATTGTCAGGAGCGTATACTCCCATCAGGCGCCGTACGGCTTAGCGTGTCCCTGTCATCCCAACCGTTGTCCTTTCTGGTCGGCAATCTGAACCTATAAAGGGAAGGACCCTCACCTTCACCAAGTAAATGAATAACTTGTCATTAACACTAAAGGTGTCATTTCCTATTTTCTATTCTGATTTCTAACTTGAGTATTGGAGTGTATTAGGCGGGACACCGTACTGGCGTCAAGTTTTCTAGTTGCAGGTTCATCTAATCCTTAGTGGTGCTACTCATTTGACGGACATGTGGACCTGTCCAAAATTCACCGACAATAGTTGCACCATCTGTGGAACGACATTTTTAAGCCAAACAAAAACTAGTTCTCCGCACTAAGACACTACCAAAATGACTTCTAATAAAGAATCGTTCTACGAACAATCTGTTAACGATAAGCGTTGGCACGACAAGCTAGGTGACAAAGCCATCTCGACTACTCCCGCCTCTTGAAAGGCCAGGGGAGTCCGGGACAGTGTCAACCCCTTTTGCCCCATTGGCCAATGTCCACATGTCTGCCCAAATTGGAAGACTCGTCGACGTCATCTTAACTGACCGGACCCACGGAGCTCCGTACCCTCCAAATGGAAGCGCAAGCAAAGGAGAAATAGCCGAGGGAGAACTTCGAGCCCTACCGAGGGAGGGAATTGCTGATGAGAACCCCCTTGCGGTGCTTGGGCTCCCTAAAGACTCAAAGGATTTTTGAGGCAAGATTAACAAGAGCCGAGCTCGACGCGGAGCGACCAGCTCAAACATGGAATTCCAGACTAGCACCGAGACATCCAGTCACCTGAGCGGATCCTACACTGAGATCGGCCCGGAAGAGTTGAACCGCATGAAGGAAAAAATCTTCAACCGAGTAAAGACTGAACTCGGAACTGGGGGTCAGGGCCTACTACAACCTTTGAAGATCGCTCAGGAACCATTCACGGCCAGCGTCCTAGCCATGAAGCTACCGAAAGGATACAAGGGCACACAGATCAACAAATATGATAGATCTACAGACCCCATGGATCATGCCAGCTCCTACCATGACGCCATGAGGCAGGCTAGGTACAACAATTTCGAGCAGTGTTGAGGCTTCTCAGGAACGCTCGTAAGCCCTGTTAGGCAATGGTTTCAGAACTTCCCTCAGTACTCCATCTCGAGTTATCAAGATCTCACCCGCAAATTTGTCTACCACTTCTATTACTCCTACGTCAATCGACGGACAGAGAACCACCTCATGTCCGTAAGGCAGAAACCCACAAAGACTTAAAGTCGTATGTGGCTCGTTTCACCATAGAAAGACTGCGGGTGCCTAACTGTGGGCACTCTCCAACGGAATCAAAGATAGGAGGCTTGTTCTTTCTTTAGAAGAGTTCCCAGCCGAGACCATGACCGATCTTATGGCCTGGATTCAGTGACATATAGTTGGAGAAGTGTTGCTCGAAACTCAATCCTTGAGCAAAAACGCAACGAGTCGTCTTGGAGGGACAAAGGCAAGTCGTCTGACCGATCTGTATCCACAAAGAAGGAATCCGACCCGTCCCAATCTGACTCCAAAGCAGATCAACCTCCCAGGTTCGAAAAATACACCTGACGTGTATTCCAGTCCACGAGATACTTGCACGGATCGACGAAACGCTCGTCGACAACTTACTTCAGTGGCCGACACAAACTAAAAGCGACTCTGTCAAGAAGGATAAAAGCCAGTACTGCAAGTTCCATTGCGACCACATACACTACATGGTAGACTACCGCGATCTCAAAGACCAGGTCGAGTCCTTGGTCCAGTGAAGATATCTAAAAGAGTTCGTGGGGGAAAGCTCTGCGTCCAACTTATTGGGTTTTATGCCCTAAACTCGTGGTTTGTAAACATAAAACAAATATTTATACAATAAAGTTGTTATTGATGTTTCTCTTATAATTGCATTAACCCAAATCCAATAAACTAACATCCAAGATTATGTCATGTAACTGGAACAGTATATAACAGATATAAAGTATATATTTAATATACAACGTATATATTTAATATACAACGTATATATTTAATATACAGTGTATATATACAATATATATTCGATGTACAAGTGGATAATGTTCCAGTAGTAACCTAAAGGGTCTATAGTATATGGATAAGGTTGGTACCATATCCTGGTAACACTATGGATACGACCCACTTTGTAATAGTTATAAAGGACTTGATCCAGATCGTTCATGTGGAGACATACGAATGAGGGTATCCTGTACAATGAGTTTATATAAGACCGGACCGCGAAATAATTAATCTTTAGCTGTAACAACGTTAGCTAATAGATTAATATTTCAATAGGATAACCAGGTAACTCGATCTCAATCTTGAGTGAGAGTGGCCCGAGTCGCCAACTCAATATTCCTACCATTTTGGGGACGAGACCGAGTGAGGAGCTAGGAACATAACTACACAAGATGAAATTCACTCATTCCCAACTTTAGGGTAATTAGATTAGTGTTCTCTTAAGTGCTGACTTCGGGATTTGAACAAAGAGTCCCACCCTCTCACTGGCCTGAGAAGGACTTCCAGTTATTGGTCGAACCATAACCGAGTTGTTCATTAGAGAATCAGTGGTACTTAAGCTTCAAAATGTAATATAGGGGTAAAACGGTAATTTGACCCAATTGTGGTTATGAACACTCGTGAAAGATTGACTTGTCGTTAATGGTCAATATCCATGGACGCAAAATTTTCTACACTGAGAATAGTGCATCTGTGGGTCTTTAGTGGAGTGACCTACATTTAACGAATGTTGATTAATATGGTTAATGAGTTTAATCAATTAATCTCGTATCGTTGGAGCTTCTGATCTGTACGTCAATTACGTCCCCTTGCTAGCTCGTAAAGGATAGTTAAGAACATTTAGTGTTGAAAGAATTTGAATTGTTCAAATTAGTTAAAGGGAATTAAGGTTAATTGTATGAGATGCAATTAATATAATGTATGTTTATACATTATAATATAAAGTTAATTTTGAATTGGATTCAAAATTATGAGAGAGATTGATATTAGAATTTGATTCTAATATAGCTGATTAATTGAATTAAATTAATGTGATATATTAATTTGGTTAAATAAAATAAAATAAAATTAATAATTCTTTTTGTAATTAATTAAATTAGATTTAATTAAAATTTTTTTAATTAAAATAAAAGAAGAAGAAGAAAAAAAAAAGGATAACCTCCCACTCCCAACCATTAATGGTGAGAAATGAAGATGTGGTGAGTGGGAAAGTTGTGACTTCCCCACCACTCTTCCTCCATTATAAAAACGGAGGTTATCCCTTTCCTTTTGGTTCCCCGATCGTCGGTTGATTGAGTTTCCAAAACTTCAACGAGAAAATCTCTTTCTTGATCTCTTGATTTCCCTCTCAATTATAAGACGGTTCCCACAAACTGAGTTCTTAACATCCAGAGGATAGCGAAGGAAGACATTTTGGTGGCGTTGGTGTCTAATTTGAAGAGGTGTTTTTAAAAGTATGTTTCACTAACTTCCTTTTATTCATGCTTTTGTCTTTTCTTCTTTGTAATTCTAAAACGAGATCGAAGGACACGCGTTCGTGCAGTTCCGCTGCGGGATTCGATCCCTTCACAATCGTCGGCCTAAGAAATACAACGGTTATCACAGGACTGATGGTTGAAAAAAAGGAGCATTTAACCGAGTTCCTCCGCAAGAATGCCAATGTCTTTGCCTGGTCTCACGAGGACATGCGTGGGATTGACCCTTCTGTCGCTGTCCAGCAGCTGAATGATGACGCGAAAGCTAAGCTGATCAGATAAAAGAAAAAGACCATGGATGCTGCACGAAACGCTACCATGGCGAAAGAAGTCGACAAGCTGCTCAAGGTTGGCTTCATCCGAGAAGTCTAATACCCAGACCGGCTATCCAATATGGTTGATTACGCTTGTTTACATGCGTAAAAAGAAGGTTTTAGATGCTGTTTTTACTATGTTTCAGCTTTGTTTCGGATTTTTCTCGGTCGTTTGAGTTCTAATTCATGCAAAATTCATATATTATGGTTTGT